GACACCGGGTTGTTCAGGGAAAAGGTACACACAGTAATGACGGCAACATTAAAAAATGCCTTCGTTCATATGTGTCCGGAGGGCATTGCCTCCTGGGTTGGTGGCTGCATCTGCTGCCTTCTGCTCTCCGAGGCTTTCTGGGGTCTCTGTCTTCTTTTGTGGGACTCTGCATGTCCCTTCGATACACTTTCCGGACAACCTACCTCAGTAGGTTGAAGATGGAATTTTACAGGGTCATCTCAGTGTCTGAAAACTGACCATGGCCACCACTCCCTGCCGTGTTTGGGAGGGCAGCCCTGTCAAGCAGGAGACAGCATGTCACGGCGTTTCTACCTGTACCTGACAGAAAGGCTGTCCGGGAACAGAAGGACTGTGTGACTGCGCAGGCAGTGTCCGCGGGCCTCTGCACGGCTCCTGTGTAGGTGTGCCCCTCGCACACGTGTGCACGTGCCTGTCTGTGCCACGGACACATGTGCTGCGCAGCACCATTCCCGTTGTTACCCAGAGCACCTGTGGCTGTCACCTGTTTCTTGCACACGAGGATCCCCATCTGTTCTCAGATTATTTACTTTATGAAACTGCCCGACGGGGAGGAGGGCGTGGGAGGGACTTGGTGTTCCAGACTGGAGGGGGAAGGAAGCTTTGTGATCTAGGGGCTGACGCCAAAGGGAGTCATACGCTTGTCTATATCTTTTTTTATTTTTTTTAATTGATACCAGAGAGGAAAGGGGGGGCGGGGGAGAGAGAAAGAAACAAGAATGATGAGAGAGAATCATTGATTGGCTGCCTCCTGCATGCCCCCCAACTGGGAACCGAGCCCGCAACTCAGGCATGATGCCCTTGACCGGAATCAAACCTGCGACCCTTCAGTCCGCAGGCCGATGCTCTATCCACTGAGCCACGCTGGCTAGGGCTCGTCTATATCTTACACATTTAGATTGTAGCACCTAATTGACTTCCTTACTTTTCTGCTGCAGAACGCTGAAGTGGTTTTTACTGTAAATGTGTGTGCGTGGTCAGGCAGCTGTAGGTTTGTTTGGGGACCAGTTGACGCTTGACTTGGTGCCCTTGGGTTCAACTTCGCTTGTAAGCTCTCAGTCCAGTGGCACCTGCTGCCTCCCTGTCCTCCTTGTGTCCTAAGGGGTGTCCGGGGAATGTCCTCCTTTCCTTCAGCACTGACCCTCCCTCTTCGGCTCTTCCCCCTCAACTCAACTACAGGGGACAGTGTTTTTGCTAAGGGTCCCTGAGCAGGGACCTCCATGACACATCACTGCCATCCTTGGGCTCCGGCAGGCTCTTCTTCGAAAGTGGTCCCATGGAGCCAGCGGGCTTGGAGGTTTGGCATTCGATACAAGAAGTGGGAGGGAGGGACTCAGAGCGGTCACCAGCAGCCTTGGCCCTTTCTTGACCGCAGGGCCACAAGAGGAAGAACTGGAAGGTGCGGCGCTTTGTTCTGAGGAAGGAGCCGGCGTTCCTGCATTACTACGACCCTTCCAAAGTGAGTAGCGTGCGCTCACTTGGTACCTGGGTGAGGCTTCCGGATTCTTCTCTCCCAAGCATCCCAGGCAGCTGGCTCCACGTCCTTCCTTAACTCAGCATCCCTACCATAACTTCCGCCGCACTATGCCTCTCCTCCCACAACCCAGCTACTCTTAAAAGGGAGGGTTGCTCTTTGATTTCATCACGTCATTGCCTGCTCCGCGGATCTTCATTATTTTGTGAGGAAAAGCATCTTTTAGTCTCTCCAAAGCTTGCCACGTGGCTGGGAGGGGAGGGGCTGGCCGACGCCAATCTGGTGCTTCCCAGCTCTTCACCCCTTTCTCCCCACAGACCCCAGGATTCTGTTCCCTCAACCTCTCATCTCCACCAATGTTTTGCAAACTTTCTTTTGCTATTTAATATTTAAGCCATAATTTACTAATTTTATTTTTTTTCTAAATGATTGAAGAATTGCTATTCTGAGTTTCAGATAATACTAGTATTGCATGCTGAGTTTATCTAATTTCAGTCAAAAGTGAAGAAAAATGGCTTTTCAGACGGCCTGTTCAACCTTGACTTTGGTAGATGTAGGGATTTCATTCATTTTTTGAAAGAGTGGAGCCTGGGCCGTCCCTTCCTCACTGCGCTTGTCAGGATGTGAAGGAGCGTGAAGGAGGCCCTGGGGCCCTGACGGACCACAGTGGGAGCCGAGGGTCAGGGAGGGCTGTGGTCCTGCTGTAGCTGGTGAGAAACAGAGTCCAAACTCCCTCACCGGCGCTTGTAGGTTGGCTGCAAGAAGGCCAAGTTCGTTATACATGACTCGCCGACTTCTTTGGCTGGCGCAGCTGAGGGTGGTTATTGGGGAGAGTGCGGCTCTTCCCTTTTGTCCATTCACAATTCCTAATAGGTCTCCTTCCCTCTGCAGGAAGAGAACCGGCCAGTGGGAGGGTTTTCCCTTCGTGGCTCACTCGTGTCTGCTCTGGAGGACAATGGCGTTCCCACCGGTAAGGTCCAGCGTTGGCCCCGGCCTGAGGTCTCAGGCCTCCCTCCTGCACTCTCAATAACGCTCTGCCGACGAAGGACTGAGCTGTGGGAGCTGAGAAGGGCTTTCTCAGTGAGACCATGAGTGGTGTGAGTTTTGAAGCCAGTTTCAGAATTAGAGAAAAGGGCCTGTGTTCTTAGTGTTTTAACCATACAGCCGTATAGTCCTTGTCTTTAATACTTTCCCCTCAGTTTCTCTGTTTACTGCTCCATAAGCTTCCACCTAAGAATAATATTAGCTTACACAGTGTTTAAGGGTGAGGTACACACTTTATTTATTTATTTTAAACTTTTAAAAAATATATATATTTTATTGATTTTTTACAGAGAGGAAGGGAGAGGATAGAGGGTTAGAAACATCGATGAGAGAGAAACCGATCAGCTGTCTCCTGAACACTCCCCACTGGAGATGTGCCCACACCCAAGGTACATGCCCTTGACCAGACTCAAACCTGGGACCCTTGAGTCTGCAGGCCGACGCTCTATCCACTGAGCCAAACCGGTTAGGGCAGGACACACTTTAATATCTATTGTCACACTAACCGGCTAGGGTAGGAAGATAGTATCATTCCCATTTTATGGATGTGGAAATTGAGGTTCAAAGAAGTTAAACAGTTTAAAGTCAAATCCTAAATCTGTGCCTTCTCTTTATATAAACACTAGAGGCCCAGTGCATGAAATTTGTGCAGCGGGCGGGGGTGGTCCCTCAGCCTGGCCTGCACCCCCTCCAATCTGGGATCCGTCGGGGGATGTCTACAATCTGGGACTGCTGGCTCCTAACCACTTGCCTGCCTGCCTGTCCCTAACTGCTTCTGCCTCCAGCCTGATCGCACCCTAACCACTCCCCTGCCGGCCCAATCAACACCTAACTGCTCCCCTGCCGGCCTGATCACCCCAACTGCTCTCCCTTGCCGCGACCTGCCTCCTCTGCTGGGACCCGCCTCCTACGTGAGGCGGCGGAGATGCTGGGACTGGCCCCCTCTGCACTGTGCGGAGCTGCGAGACCCCCAGGCCTCACCGCGCAGAGTAGCCACCGGGCCCGCCTCTGCTGTGCACGTGGCCATCTTGTGGCAGCCATCTTTGTGGTGGCCATCTTGTGACGATGTCACGCGCGAGGGCGTGACGCCACCTAGGCTTTTATTAGTATAGATACTAGATTCTGTGATGTGAACGAAATTGTAGATCTAGGGTTAGCATAGGTAGCAGGCCACGAAAGCTTCCAAGAATGTCCAGACAGCTTGGCTGGAGTGGCTCAGTGGTTGAGCATCGAACTGTGCCCCAGTTTCGGGCCCAGTGGGGTGCATGCAGGAGGCAGACAACCAATGATTCTCTCTCGTCATTGATGTTTCTATCTCTCCCTCTCTGAAGTCAATAAAAATACTTTAAAAAATTGTCCAGACATACCACTGGCAGGCCTTAAGGCACAGGCAAAGGAGAATGGGAGGGAGGAAAAGAAGAAAGCACCACGCATCTGGTGGGATTCCCTAACCATGTGCATTTGTATTTAACAAATACTTCATTATTTGTTTTTGTCTGTATCGCAGTTGATTTTCCGCTGCTTCCAGCTGAAAGCAGACATGGATATTTACTCACTGATTTTTTTCTGCCCAGGTGTTAAAGGGAACGTCCAGGGAAATCTCTTCAAAGTGATTACTAAGGACGACACACACTATTACATCCAGGCCAGCAGCAAGGCTGAGCGAGCCGAGTGGATCGAAGCTATCAAAAAGCTAACGTGACCGAGACCTGAGAGACCAGGACCAGGATTCCTCCCACCTACCCGGTGACACCGACAGGGGTTCCCAGAAAATGAGTGTTAATGTAACTTTGTTTATTTTGTACTGTTTTGGAGTGAGTCTACTGAAGTTTCCTAGATTACAATGGGCAACGGTGCTATTTCCTTCCCCACCTTCATGTTAACAACCTGGAAATGCTAGAACAGCCATGCGGCATCAGCATGTTGACTTTCGCCAATCATCACAGCCGGCCATTCCTTGGGCACCAAAGTAGGTTTGCCTTATAACACTAACTGGCCACATTATACTACTAAATAAAGCTAGTCTCATGGCACTGCCTCTGAAATGCTGTCAACAGCTATTAACTCCTTCTTTAGGATTAATAAAAATTGGCATTTGTTTCTGGCTATTAGAATTCCCTTCCAAAGTTTCAGTTTTCAAATGTTTTTCATGCTTGAGACTATAGGAAGTAAGTGAGGTGATTATGAAGACACCTCAAGTGATCTGTGACTAAGACATGCTTCATCGCAAAGTGGGATGGTGGCAAAATTTTGCTTGAACATTCATAGAATATTGTTTTCCTTTGAAAAATAAGCTTGTATTAAGTATTACACATCACAGAAAAAGCATGGACTCAGTTGAAGAGATTAGTCACACATACTAAAAAAAGGGTAAAATTACAGCTTTCCTGTGGAAAATACCATATAGAAAGAAGCAGAGCAGAGCTCTCTAAAGGACAGAGAAAGATATAAATAGGAAAAGAGTTAAATCAAGGCATGAAATATTTGGTTTTAAAGTGAACATTGAGACAAATATTGTTGGGAGGTTAACCTGCATTAGTGAAAAGTCTGTATCATACAATTATTTTAAAAAACATTTTTATTGCTTTCAAGTTCATACAGTAAACTGGCACAAGATACTGCCAGCATTCTTGCTTAGTACAAGTACTTAGACTTCCTTTAATGAATAGGTTAAGATCTGTAACTGACACTTAAGGGGACTAGATACTTCTGAAGTAAACATGTGTCCTTGGTTTGAACTATTCTCTTAATTTCAACTATAATACTTCACCTGAGTGATTGGAATTCCAAGCGAATGAGATTTGACTTCATTCCTTAGATTGTAGAGAGATTGCCTTTTAGGGCACCATTTCCCGTTGGGCATTTTACCAGGTGTAATGTCCCTGGAATTAGTTTATTGTTTTTGGGATATCAACAGTTTATCTGAATTTGACTGTATTTGGTTTGATGGCTTCTTCTCTAAACTAGTACAACTGCACCACACTGCGGAGGACAGAGTCCTCACGCATTTAAAATAGATGACCATCACCTTGAGGCAAACCAGGGAACAGCTCTTACCAAGGTACTAGTATGTTAAATTTTTAAAATCCCAAACCATTTGAATTCAACTGTTTTTTATGTCAAAGTAGCTAAATCGAGAATGTTTGAAAGTCTACCAGCTGAGTAATAACTGTATTGCTAAGCATAATGTAGTGCTTAGCATGTCTCTGTAGGTTCCCACTTAGAATTATCCAAAGTATTGGTTTGTCTTGTTTTGGTATAAAAAAAAAAATGGTTTGAATGTTGTTAGCCATTCTCAATTAATTATGCATTAAGAACCAAGCTATTGCTAAGGTTCAATTTTGAGTTATAACCACTTGACCTCAATCCAAAGCAGAACAGGAAGTAGATGAAGTTGTCCAATTTTAATGAAGATGTTTTTTAGGGGGAGATCCAAGATTTGGATAAACTGGTCACTTGCCTTTGAAAATCTGTTGCTTCAGTTATCTGGAGCTGGGTGTGGTGTGTTATCGTGTCCTTTAAAAGTGATACTTTTAGGTCAGCAAGGTATATGTATGCTTTAAGTTTAGTTCTGTCACTGAGGTATCAATCTTTTCTCTGGCAAGGGCCATGAATTTGCAACTATTGTGGAACTGAACAAAAGGCCTGCATGGATAAATTCACTCACCATGAAGGCTACCAGCATTTCTCATTAGTTTTTGAAGTATAAAAATATTCAGTAAACAAAAATCCAATTCCCTGTCGATAGCAAACATTTAAGGAGCACCTGCTATATTTTGATGACATCTGTGAGCTTTACACACTTTTTTGACTCCTCAAAAAGACCAAGGTGAAAATTATGTGCTAATTTTGAGTATATCCTGATTTTCCTCTAAATATTCCCAGTATGGTATGTTAGCTAGCAACCATGATTCCCTTGTGGCTGTATGAAGTCAGCCTTTGGATTGGGACAACCTTCACATATGGCACAAACTGTCTCATCAACACTATTTTCCAGTCCCTTTAACATTGAATCTAGTCCTGGATTGATGAAGGTGGGTACAGTTTCATTTTCTAAGTATTTAAATGGCTATTTGTCAGAATAATTTAATAAAATTAATATATCTAGTACCTCAACTACACAGAGAGTAAATCTACAAAGATCTAAGTAACTCAAGACTTTCTAAGCCCTGGTCACTGTAGCTGTAACTTCAAACCATGTGTTTTCTATGAATGAATTTATTTACCTTTAAAATAACTAGTTCTTAAAGATAAAAATGATGGAAACGTAGAAAAATCATGGTAATTGTGTTCAAACAGATCCCTATTCTGTTGTAAAGAAAACTGAAGCTCTCTAGATGACACCTAGTGAATATTTTAATGGGGGGAAAGAAATCTCAAGTTGGGTGATGAGACTCAAAATAACTAAAGCAGCAGCATCTTAAAAAACAAAAATAAAACCAACCTTACCACTTTGAATTACAAACTCAGGCACGCAGCTTAGTACACCAACCAGGACCAGTGTGAAATTCTTCCACATATATTTCATCAGTCTCAAAGCCGTAAAAGGCACACAACCAATGTAATCCTTTAATTGCATTTCAAGGCTTTCCCCCTTAAGAATTAACTTTCACTGTGGTTCGAATTATTTTCTCTAAGCCCTCCTTGTTGTATAGATCCTTTGAACACCTGCCCTTATATTTCTACATCTAGACTAAAATGAATAGAATTAGGGTCTTAGTAATCATAATGGTTCTAACTGGTGACAAGAAGGAAGAAGCCTATAGTTAAATATCCCAGAAATTTATTTAATGTTTGCTTGATACATTTATATAGAAAGGTTGGGACCATTTGCTTTGGGTACCCCTGATAAATTACACAGAGGTACTGAACTACAAACAGGTGTCAATCTAGGGACATCAGAAATGGAAAGCCCAATTTTGACTGTTCTTAGCTTAGAGATCTGTCTCTAGTGAAATTGGGCCACTCCCTTAAAAAATGCTCAATGTGATGGAGTTACTGTGTGAAAACAGCCGGCATTTTAGGACATTTCATGTTTTGGTCTGTTAGAACATTTAAATACTTGGAAATAAAAAATATTCAGCTGTGAAGTTTTCAATACTGGAAAACTTTTAAGTCTAGGGTTTATAGCCAGGAAGGGCTGTTTTGTGTTCCTTAAATTGGACTTTGTTTCCCAAAAGTTAATCTTCAGCTTTGGCTTCCATTTCTTCTGCATCATCATCTCCATCCACTTCTGCATTTTCTCTCTCAAGCCTCTCCAGCTGCCTTGCAAGTTCGGTTTCATCTGTATCTGTGACCACTTTGGGCTGTTGAAGCAGAGGCATAATTTCAAAATGAAGTAGTCAAATAGTACACAAAATTGAATTTCAATACTATCACTGCCTCGTATTAACTCTTAAAGACACTTTTCTTAACAACCCTGATGCCATATCTATTCATTTCTGAGTGCTGACATATCACTAATAAATTCCATTAGCTCAATAATGGAAGAAACTTGTGAGAATAAAACAGTACAGAAAAAAGAAATATGTGTGTATTAAAACAAAGTACTATTTTCTGTTATTTTTACAAGCTAAAACTGAAAATATATGAAAATAATCTCAGTGGCTATATCTTTCAAACCCAAAAGATGTCCTATAAAAATGCACCTTCCAGTTTCAAAATAAATTTACTGTTCTGTTGCAGAGAAGACTTATTATCGTGTGCGTATATATATAATGTGTTAAATATTTTTGTATATACATAAGAAAATTAGGTTTTATTCCTGTTGAGATGAGGGAAATAAAGGCAATTATACTTATTTCTAATTCTGAGATCAAATTTCAGTGTTTTACATTAAATTCTGAAAATAATCAACCACTAATTTTCATCATCTATTTTTTCCCTTGGCTGGGCGGGTGACAACAGGACATCTAACACCGGTGACCATAGTTCTCAATAAATATCCCATGATAGTTATTTACTTATAAAAAGCCCTTTTAGTAATCCTCTGAGTCAATATTTATTTTATGCTTAGCAGAGTTGTAATCGTAAATGTACTCATTTTTTTAAGATTTTAGAATGCAAGTCCTTTAGAAGTTTTAAATTTATTAAAACCGTTAAGAACAAGGCAAAATCACTCTTACTCTTACCTCCATTTGAACATTGAAGACACCCCTCTTTTCCTCAATCTTTTCTTTTATAACAGCCATAGCCTGATTGAGGACAGAGAGGCCTTCTGTCCTCTCCAGGGTAGTTGTAGTCATTACATACCGAGGAGGAGCTATGAGATTAATCTAAGGAAGAAGATGAAAATTCACCTGTCAGTATACCTACAGAACACACAACTATCAGGATGTTCGAGAATTGTTTTACTAATCTGCTGCCTTAACAAATCTTAATTCTCAAAACTTAACTGCCAATTTTATAGTTAGCAATTTGGGGTAGCCTGTTAAGGTAGCAAAAGCTGATACAGTGATCTAATTAAATCTGCAATACTGAATACAAAAAATGACGACTTCTGGGTGTCTCTGGAGGTTAAACTAACTATAGCCATTGCCAGCATAATGGATAATTTGTCTCTAAAACAAACAGAAATTCTAATTTGGTTCCAAACTAAATAGAAGAAATTCTTCTAAGAGATTCTAAATAACAACGATTCAGTTAATTTTATTGCTAACAAAAGATTCGGAGCAAACCTCCTAAAAATTGTGTGTAAATGAGAATATGTTGCCCTTTTCAAGATTCTATGAGCATTATGGGTACAACTTAAAAAAAAGTTTTTATTGATTTTAGAGAGAGAAAAGGGGGAAGAATCATCAATCTGCTGCTGCCTCCTGTACACCCACTACTGGGCTTTCAAACCTGGGCATGTGCCCTGACAGGGAATTGAACCAATGACCTCTTGGTGCATGGGGCGATGCTCAACCAACTGAGCCACTTCAGCCAGGGCATAATGTTTTATTGTAAAGGAGCCCTCTGCACTAAATACCAATAGGAATCTCTATCCACTGTGACAGTAACAGTAGCTACAACAAAAAGCCTATACACAATCGTAAATACCCCCTGGAACTATCATCAAGAATCACTTTTCATAACTCTTGTTATGAAACATGATCATAAAAAATCTGATTTGGCTTAGG